AGAGAGAGAGAGAGAGAGAGAGAGAGAGAGAGAGAGAGAGAGAGAGAGAGAGAGAGAGAGAGAGATACATTCCAAACAGTAAAATTAGCTATTTCACAGCAGGCTATGACAGCATGTTACAGTTATATATGTCATGTGTTCAAGCCTTGAGCATATACGCATCACAAATAYTGAATTAAGAAATTGCTTGATTGCATCTTTTACTGCCATCTAAAAGRTACAATTTTTGATCCACGCAGCCTGGATTTAGCTCATACATACACACAGGACAGAAACATAACTGTCAACCTTCACATAACACACGTGTCATTGACTAAATGAGTGTTTGTTTGCAGTGAGATGAGTTAACAATTACCTGACACCTGTGACAATGAAAAATCCATCACCATTAGAGACTCACACCCACGATGTGGAAAATCAAACAATGTAGTGTCAAGGCAAACGGGCAAAATAATATTATTGTTCAGCAACAATACAATCACCATGTGACATCTCTACCAGCTTTGTAGCAAAGCTCAAACAGAAGATAAAATCAGTTTTTGGTACTTTTCTGAGCTAATTAATGTATTTTGAGAAGGAAAACATGAAAATAAATTACTGACAAAGTTTTGTTTATTTAAGGATTTTTTTAAAGCAGGTGAACTCAAAGAAAGAAAAAGTTATTTAGTATTATTCCCTACAAGGTTGCAGCTTATACCCTGCAAGTAAGAGTGCCACTCATGCTCTGTTTCAAACAAAAGTGCTGTTCTAGAAGAATATGTTAAAAAGCATATAAGCCCCCAAAATAGCACACTTACACTCTTAGAATTGAAACTCAACTGCACTCACCTGAAGCCTTTCTGCTCTCGTCTCATTTRTTCTGCTGTCATTTCTGGTTTTTCAGAACCAGTGAATATTTATTAGAATACCCAAAACGGCGAGAAAACATTTCAGTTCTCATATGTTTCTTAGGAAATTCAATTTTCTGCTGGGGGGCAGTTTAGTTGGTTCTGAAGAAAATCAACACTAATTAAATAAATAAATAAATAAATAAATAAATAAATAAATAAATAAATAAATAAATAAATAAATAAATAAAAAGACAAAAGCCTAAACACACAGAAAACTACTCAAAACGCCTGCAGTTCTGCCAGACTGCTGGCTTCATGTTCAGGCTCCAGCAGGTGTTTTTAATTTAGCACTAATATTGGCTTATATTAATCTACTCATGACAAAACCGAACTGTTTCCAATTAGCTACTCAGTGTTTACACTTCACAGCCCATAAACATGTTTTAATGCTGTTGTGTAACTTACCTTATGGTGTAAAGACACAAGATACATCTCAAAGATGTGAAGTTGGGCAGAACACAGCAGCTAGCAATAAGCTAATCAAGTGAGCTTTCAATTAGGCAAAATATGTTTTAGTTAGCAATTAATTTAACAAAGATAATATTTCTTGTAAAAAAAAAAACAATATTTTTGTATTTCTAAAGTTGTAATTTTACCCCAAAACATGTGCAAACAGTTTAAGAAGGGGAAGAAAAGACAACTAGCTAATTGGTGATGCTAAAAGTTTGACGCTTGTGATGTGTTCATGTCAACTGGGAAATTAAAGTGCTCTACCTCTCAATGTGATGAAAGAAAAATAAAGAAGACTAGCATCCTTTCTAATTTATTTGACACCTCTTATATGCGATTRTGCACATGAATCCCTTTTGTTGGATGTACTGTAAAAATATTCAGCAACTTTTTTTTGTGGTTTCCTATTTCAGAAGGACATGGAATGCACCATCAAGTTCCTTTTTAAAGCAGTTTACTACATGCATACAAACATGAATGGGGAAACAAAAATTATAATTTTTTTAAATTAATCTGACCTTTAATACTCTCATTTATATTTTTATGCCTTAAGTGCACGTTGAGGTAATTGTATTTGCCATTCTTGAAAATAAATTTARAAAGCCAATTTATTTCAATATACTGCACTATTAAAAAATCTATACAATCAGACAATCAAAGTAAAAACAAAAATCACCAGAATAAAAATKAATCATATATGATCACTGATAGAGGAGATTTTCGGCAGTTACATACCAGTATATTTATATGTTCAAGACAAAAATATATGCAGAGTATGAATACCGAGCTCCAAAATCGGACTGTGATTAAAGACAAAAATTCCTTGTAAAAGACTTTGTATCTGGTAGCTGCACTGTGGGAGACCAGATCTGTTGCAGCTCTGGGATTGATTGTACTTAATGGTCACTGTTCAATAGCAACATTGGCAATAATGAGGGGTGCCTTGGAAGAAACACATGTCAATATCTCAGTTTTATGTGTTTGTGTGT